GAGATAATTTATTTCCATTCAAGCACTTTAATTTACCCTGAAGAATACCTTGTATATTCAAGCACATAACATGTACTGTTTCTGGTATTTTTCTCCAGTATTCCCTACAGTTACACTTGTGCCACACATTTACCACTGAAATCAAATTAAGCTCATGCTTATGTAGCTATTTGAGCTACTCATCAAATAAGGCACACGTCAAAATATTAGGCTGACAATCAGGCTTCTTTAGTCTGAACTTTCCCCTCACATATTGTGCAAAACGTCTCCAGTAACGTGGGCGGGGGTAGATAAGTATTAGCTTAAATATTAATCTCCAAAGGATCCTTCTGCCTTCCCTGCACCATTTTTTTTCAACAATGTTTTCCCTGAAGGTCTCTCAAGCAAGTTATGTTCCAGGCCTGGGACATCACAGCATGGGGCAATATGACTGCAGGGCAGTAGAAAAGGACCCATTCGAGGGAGAATTCCCACCAAGCCTTTCTGAAAGTGTGAGCTTCTGTGTCCTGTTTCATCTGGCATCCCAAATGCCAGTGTTACTTTTTGTAAAGACAAGTTGAACCACCCACTATTTGTTACTCCGGTTTCCACAGAAAAGGGTTAAGGCACAAGCACTTAAGTTTAGAGGGAGAACCTCTTAATTCCCCGAAAAGGGAGCATACAGTACAGCCATATAGATTGGGACTACACTGCTTTAACCTTGTGCATCACTATGCAGGCTGGGCATGAGGGAGCATGAGGATCTGCTCGGGTAAGCTTAATCAAAAAAATACATTTCCGTCATGGTCAAGAGCTGTGTGGAAAGACATTTTGCTTATGTCCTCCTCTTTGGAAACGCCATCAGGGAACTATAAGCGACGCCATGGCATAAGGAAATGATAAATGCCAATGCAAGCAACAAGCTGATTTTACATTTATATTAACGTATCTGAATCTGAGGGAACTTCCCACAGTATAATTTTGTATAATTATTTTCTACTCACTTTCCTCCTGGATTACAAACATGTTTATCTTTTATAAAATGACGTCAATGTTAAACAGTTTGCTTTTGTTGTTTTACTTCTTAAACCAGTTGGGAATTATGATGAAAGACAGGGCAGTATCTTTTCTTCTGCTTGTGGTTTGGCAACAGCTCTCCTTAGGATAAAACTAGAAAACGGGTCAGAAAGAGGTGGAAAAAAATGTACCAGCTCAAGTCTCACCTCTTCTCAGAATTTAACAGTGTGAAGTTGCATAACACACATACCTGTCGCATTATAAAGGTGAAGAACTGTTACCAGGTAACCAGTGATTGTTTGTTATAAGTTTGCACGCTTCAAATAGAGCTGAGAGCCCAATTTCTCAGTATAACATTCAGATGTTCTTGTTGAATCAAGGGGACACCATGAAAGAAAACACGACAGAAAGATTCCACCAGCTTCCTCTTACAGTCAGAGACATCCACCCACAGACACCCAGGGAAAGCTGCCATTGGCTTTTGCAGGTTTCAAGCCACAGATGCCAGAGGACAAGCATATCTCTTTGATCAAATCTGAGCCTGGAAGACCAAAAGTTCACATAGCATTTCAGTAAGACCAGGACCACAAGTATGACCACAATACTTCTTCACCAGAAAAATACACACATATATGTATACATATATATACACACATATATATGCATACATATGTGTATATATGTGTATACATATATGTGTGTATGTGTGTGTTGTGTATATATATGTACATATATGTATATATATGTACATATATGTATATATATGTATATATATGTATATATATGTATACATATATGTGTGTATGTGTGTGTTGTGTATATATATGTACATCCCCCCTCATCTCCCCTCTCCGAAGAGGATATTCTAGAACATACTTCATTAACATTTGTAAAGCACTCCGAACACTTTAGATAGAAAGTGATAACAAAGTCCAAAGGATTAGAATTATTTACAATATAACTTTGCACACACAAGTGTTCACTAATCTCTTTAAGAGAGCACAGTCCCAGTTCCAAAAAGAAGAAAAACACAGTGGGCTAGAAACAGTGTTCTCAGCTAAAATATTTGGTCCTCATAAAGGACCCCAGACAAATAAACCAGTAAGGTAAATTAAACAATCCCAATGATAACTGCAAACGAGACAGTCCATGCAGACAACTGCTGCTGCACAGATTAGAAACAGATCAGCCGCACTCTCTACTTCTATCAGAGGCACATTCTGAAAATATTTGTGAGAGTTTCATTTTTTCCTCACAGTTGATTTGCTTCAGCAAAGTGCAAAGCAGCCGCTGGTCACTGAGGAGGCCTGTGCTTGTACTTGGCCCTTTTATCTCCTGCAGAAAACGACTGGTACAATTTGCACAGGTGGCCACAGGTTTCAGCTTCACACAGTTTCACTACATCTACAATGCATTAAGCTAGAATAAACATGGGAAAATACAAATTAACAGTATTAGCCAGACTAGAACTAGGAATCCAGGTTATTCAACTGGGCTCATGCTATTCAGAAAACATATTAGCCCATTAGTAATAAGAGATGATCTGATCACTAGTTGATAGGTAGTTTGAAAACCAGGAATGCAACTACTGTGTGTTTTACAGGGTTTGGGTAATGTGGTCCATATTGCAGGAGAGGGTTCAACACATTCACCCTTCCACCTCTCACCCCGCCATGAAACACAACCCTGATGTTCCTACTGTCACTCTCTCACAGCAGGCCACAGTATCTCACCATATGCCATTCCACAGACCTCTATATATAGATGGAAATGACGCCATAAAGTACATATGGCCCCATTCAAGCATATCATATGTTTATCAGATTCACAACTTAGAGATACCACAGCAAATACAATGCTTTACATTTCTCATGATAAATGCAATTTAAATGTCACAGTTACTTAACCTGGGGCATATGTCCCTCTCTCAAGCTCCACGCGATGACCACGTAGATGAACGTTCCTATCGCTGCAGCACACAGGGGCTCCTGCCACAGACCCAGCACCATCAATCAGCTCATGGCCCCAAAGGGGTGCAGTGAGTAGGGCCCACGCAAGTCTACTTGGATGGGCTTTGGTGGCACGAGTGGCACTCTGTGGGGTGACAGCAGGGATGCCTTGCTCTGGCAGACCAGCTTGACAAGCACCCCTCCGTGAGAACTGCAGCTTCAGCCGATCCCTCACAGGCACCACAAGCATCTAGCAGCTCTCCATTCCACACAGGTAGCACTAGCCATCAACAGGGCTGAAGCAAAAAACGCAACAGGGCCAAGAGGACCCTGGTCAGCAGCAAACCCATACCCTAAGGAAGGAGGAGATGATGGTCCAGGGGGAAAAATAGGGGGAAAAAAAACCCAAAAAAGTGCAATCTGGAGAATGCTGCTGTAGAGGAATCTGGGAGTCTACACTTGTCTGCCCCGAGGTCAAAAGAAAATTAGGTGCTAAAAGTATAGCATGCACATTAAAAATAAATCAAGGACATGGAAAGAAGCCAGAATTCATTGTTTTTGTTTGTTTGTGTGTTTGTTTTTATAACTGCAAAGTTCCCATAATTCTGCTCCATATTCAAATTTTCATGAAAATTTCTGAAAAATCTTCCAGCACTGAGTGCACTTCTAGCTGATGGACAGTGAGTCCTTTCAACAACAAAAGCAAAGACTCTAATTAAGGTTACCCTGTGAAATCTACCTTCCCCTGGGGTGAATAGTTAGTCACAATAACAACTGCTTGTTCCAACACCAGCTACAAGCCAGAACCCTGCAACTCAAAAGGCTTTTTTTTTTTTTTTTTAATAAAAATAAAAATGAAGAAAAAGGGAGGAYGATTCTTCAAATAGGTGGAATGCACTATGACTGTTTTTAAGACATTCAGGCAGTATTCTTGCTTCTCTGCAGTTGCCAATATGGAAGCCTCACGACTGCATTAATGCAAAACGTACTTCCTCCACATCTATCTGCAGAGGACACTGTTTTATCAAGAAAATAACAGCTTGTACAGCAATTTTAGTTACTATTTTAATTTGCCCAGAGTGGGCATTTCATAGTTTCTGGTGAAACAGTACCCCCACAGTACAGTAAAAGCATATAAAATTAGTTATTTACTCTTTTGTAGATTACATAAGGAACAGTACTCAGTCTGTTTTAATAAGGTTAGGAGGGAAGGGAATGTGTAATTTTGGGAGCTGGCAGAGTAACCAGCGCAAATACGCAAGGGCACAGCAAAAGGGCTGCCTACTCTCCCCTCCCCACCGGGTGGGCTGGGCACTGCCATTTGAAAAACCTTACTGCAGAGATCCCTACGATGTTCTGAAATGAGTACACAGCAGCATAGGCATATATATATATATATTCATAGTGAGTGCTGAAAAGAGGTRTGTCTCAACATTCTGGAAATAGCCCTCTTCGCAAAATCAAAGCTCCCTTCCATGCTTTTCAGGCAACTGCCAAAAAAAAAAAAAAACCCCACACTTGCTATTTGAGATCTGTAGGGTACCTACAGGGGCATATCTGATCATTCAGGATCTGCTAGCCCACCACCTTCACTGCATTACAGCCCGCTGCTGCAGTGAAGCACTGGGGAATCCCTGCTTGCGCTCGAGGAGGGAAGGGTTGGCAAGGTGCTCAACASCCAATTCCCATGGACCGCAATGGCACTGGAGAACCTACTTCCCTAGTGCCCCCTGAAGTGCTCTAATCCCGCTGCCAGCTTCCCCCAACGGTTTGCAGTGATTAGAGAGTACTATTCCATGGATGTATACAAAGAAATTTGAGATACCCTCCAACACTACGTTAAGAGCCGCCTCACAGCACTTCCCCAGGGCGACGGGAGCCCGTCCGGAGCAAGGCCCAGCTCCCCAGCCACTTTCCCCCCGCCACATCTGCTCCGGAGGAAAGGAGGCGCGGGCGCAGTTTGCAGCGAGCTCTGCTGCAATGAAGGCAACGCCCGGGTCTCGGCGAGCGGCATCCGCGCCTCCCCCGTGCGCGGGGACCCCACGGGACACGTACCTCTGCAGGGGCATGATCTCGCAGGCCATGCTGCTCATGAGCTCCGCGGCAGCTCCCCGCGCCGCGCCGCGCCGCGCCCGCAGCGCCGCGCCGAGCCGAGCCGAGCCGAGCCGCGCAGGGCGGGCGGCCCGGGGAGGAGCGAAGCGGCGGGCGGCCCCGGGGCGGCGCTCAGGCCGGCCCGGGCCCTGCAGCGCCGCCCGAGCCGCGGAGCGCCGCGCAGAGAGGCTGAGAGGCGCGGGGCAGGCGGCAGCCCCCGGCACGGGGGGTCTGCCCGGCCGGGGCTCCCTCGCCTCTGCCCTGTAGCCAGCAAGRGCCGAGGACACGAAGCAAAGCGAGCGCCCCAGGGCGGCTCCTGATCACGCGAAACGGGTAGTGGACACGTTTTTGCCCAAGAGAGAGAAAAAAAAAAAAAAATTTAGGCCCAGGCGTAAAAAGCAAAACTTAAGCTGATAGTTCGGACGTGGCATCTATACAAATGACTTATCCTAAAGTAGAAAAGGCTCACACAGGTCAGAAAKCGCATTTTGTCAGCTCTCCGAACAATATAAACTGCACTGGCAACCACCTTCTTGAGCTGCTGTGCCTGCATCCACACTACAGATCTTATCAACATGGAATTACTGAAAAGAAAAACAAAATTACACACTAATGTTGAGCTCAAACTAGATACACGAGAAAGGCGAGAAACTGATCCAAGAACATACCACCAGCAAGCTTTTAACAAAAACACCGGATAAAGGATTTTATCAACTTAACTAGGATCGAAACAGCCTCTGGGCTTTGGAAGTGTCAGCSTAAGCATGCAGGGACTAACCAGAGGCCTCAGGCAGTGCCAATGTTCCCTAGGGTGGGAAATGCTGCCCATCACCCACCTGTGGCTCTAGGGCACTGGGGCACCAGTGCGGGCAGACTGCACAGTGCCCCGCTGCTGCTYGCACACAGCGCCTTCAAGCTGACTGACCACCCCTTCGTGTTTCAGTAGGTGCTGCTGTAGCTCACAAAGTTTCATGAAGTAGTTAGCCAGTCAGCCCGGACACACAGTGAAGAACAGCAGGCAAGGACTCCTCATTTACTGTTAAAACTGAWCAGGGTCACAGAAGCACAATTTACTTTTACTTATGTTGCCACAGGGCCAGTAACTCTCAATAACTGTGGCCTCTATTTGGTCACCTTGCCTGCTCGTCCAACATTGCTCTGCAATGACCAATCAGACCCTTTAGTTTGGTGGAAATTTTGGGATGGGGAGCGACATAACCACAGAATGCTTGTGCCGCTCTCCAGTTTTTGCATGACACGGTAATTTTGGGAAACAAGCATGTTGTGCACTAGTGGTGCTTTTGCCAATTGCTGCCCAGTAGAAGTGCACTCTGCCATGCCACAGGCTCGCAAGGCACTGCACAGAGCTCCTACTTTTTATGAAAGTCAGCAACACCGATCAGGCGCTCTGCCATGCTGGAGCTGGGCTGCTGCTATCTGTGTCAATTAAGTGATTATCTCAGGGACTTCCTGTTAAATAAAACGTGTTAGACATGCTCCTGAATAACTAAAACCACACAAAAAGAGATTTTACTCTGACACACAAAACTGCTCGCTTCACTATAAAACAAAATCACCTTGTGCTGTTTCACAACTTGACATTAAATAAAATTACCTCCCTTTGGGCAGGCTTTTAATATACACAATTATTCATATTTTATTATGTTTCTATAAACTAAGCGTTACCACCAGGATACCAATAAAAAAAAAAAGTTTCCACATTTAACTATGTACCTGTCTACATGAGGAATGAGCCAGGGTTTTCTAGAGCAGCTTGCTGAATAACTGAACTCAAATAGCACCCGTGCTCTGAATTTATACCATAGGCATTTTGTCATAACTTCCATGTGATTTCCCCACATAAATGAGCTTAAAAATACTAAGATTCATAACAAAGAATTTACTGACAAGGAGTAGAAATTACCAGAAAAATTAATCTACGAATTACGATCAGGAAAGAAGGTCAATTCCTGGCATTGTGCTGAAATCAGCCAGGCTGATTAAAGTCGCTCAGTGCCCCCTATGCCACCAACACCTTCAGAGCCACCTTCTCCTGTTGCTATTTTCTTCTGGAGTTCTCTCTATGGGCTGTTGGTTTTCACCTCCCCTTCCTCATGTGCACCTTTAGCAGTGCCAAAAACATTATGACTGAGAAGACGTATCCTAACTCACTTTTCCTAGCACACCCACTGACATGTAACAGTAATGCCCATTGAAAGCTGGGAGATCAAAGATGAAAAAAACACAGCTGCTGGCCTTTGGCTTGCAGTCCTGGGTTCCCAAGGTTTTAATTATTTCCGGAGTAGCTGCAGATATGGCAATAAAAGATTCTGACACAGGGAAATGTCAAAGCGAGTAAAATCAAAATAAGTACTTCAGGGCATGGAGGCCAACCATGTGTACAAGCAGCACTGCTTGCTGCTCAAACAGCAGGAAACCACCCCACAGTGCATGTCACCCTGCTTTAGATGCATCATCTGAACGTGCCTTTCAAACCTGTCACCCTACAAAAAATCAGTACAAAACTTGTTAGTTTGTCATCTCCCCTGCCTATGGTTACAGACTGTAACCTACACATTTCAGTCACCACCTTGATAGACAAAAGTTGCCAGAAAACTGAAGTCTCATCTCCAAACAGTATTCCTTTCTTCTCACTGATGTTTAAGGTAACTTTGCTACTTGAGAGGCAGAAATTTCTTTTCTTCCCTCTATCCTCTTGCATCCTTCTTTAACTTGCATGATTCAAGATGGAATGATTATCACATATAAATYCTGGGATTATTACAATATGCTGTTTTGGATTTGTACTTGTTAAACCTATTTTTCCACATTTAGGGGAAACAAAACTACTTATTTAAGTTTTATACAGCCCTCACATTCCTATTGCTCAGAACAGCCAAACTTGCTTTCTAGCTGCAAAAATACACTGCGGTGGCTATTTACGGYACCACCAGACATACATCTGAAAGATACACCCACGTATCCTTCTCCCTCCACACTTACTGGAGAACTTTTAACCTGAGTTCATCCCAACCACATATCAAGAAATGATTAGGATGAAGTTTTTGRTTTGTAGATTTGTCACTGAGATTCAGCAAAGGAAAAGAAAGGCACAGACTGGAGCTCCGGAGAAACAATCCCACCACCAATCCTCTCCACCAGCAGTGCTTGGGGACTGAGCCCATCATGGAAAGGAAGTGCCCCGTCCATCATCATTATAGAGCTGCCTTCCTCCGTTTCCTTTTCACACTAAGCTGCACAGCAAATATTTTCCTCAGAGTACCAAGCAATAAAAGAAGAAGACCTGTGAGCAGCACAGCACTGAGGACAGAGTTTAATATTGATCTAGCTAATGGATTTTGTGAGGATGGAGCTTAATCATACTGAAAATTAAAGATTARCATACTTTTCAAAATAGCATTAATATATATCAACCCTCCCTCCCCCCTGTCGATTATTTAGGTACACATTTGATCCATGCAGACAAAGAGTCTTTGTGCATGTAAAGTGTTGCAATTGCAAATGAAAGGACCCTGAAAAAAGCTTCCTGCAGGCCAGAAGATTTGTGTGYAAATAGGCAAAGCACATGTAAATAGAAACCATATTTGGAAACTGTAGCCTTTAACATCCAAATAATGCAGAAAGAAGATTACATAGGCCTGGTTAAAAAGAACACAATAGATAAAAAGAAAAACTGATGTATCAAAACCATAATTAAGTAAAGTAGTAATCCCCAGCCAGTGGCTGATTTATCCCAAGAGAAACTTTCCAAAGTTGGTGCTCACTTAGTAATTTTATGACATGACAGAAAATGTAAAATAATAGTGGCCAGGTAAGCAGATCATACAAGGAGGGGGAAGAGAAAATGAAACAGAAAAAGGAATACAAAACAATCTGTTGCTTTTTATTACAGTTTGTGCAAGCAAAAATTTCACRTGTCAACACTGCCATAAACATAGTCAAATCTAGGCCTGAGAACACCCAGCTACACTTGCAGAACTATGTATGCTAAATAGCAATCAAAGTTGCTGAATTYAGTGGCAATTGATTCTGGAATTGATTGTGGTCATGTCATATGCAGGGAAATATTAAATTATAATAATGGTTCCTTTTGACCTTAAGACTGTATCAATGAGCAGATTCTGTTTTAATTACTTCTCTTCAAATGGGACACATGATTGATAATACTCTCTTGTGAATTTTCATATGTAGTCAGTTGGTATCATGGCTTCTCTGGATCCTCCTTTGGGCTCTTTAATCAGTTCAGCCAGAATCAGGGAAASCAAACTCAAAATCAGCATTAGATTGCAGGAAGTTACTCAGCCATAATTTATAAGGTAAGGAAGAAAAGGTGAATATGACAGACAATTTTGCTTCTAATAATACTAAAAGACATCACTTTAGTTCTTAGTCATGCTGGTTAAAGTTCCTGTACAATATTTGACTCCATAAGCGCAGTTASTTAGGAAATGAGAGAGTACTGTTCTTAGTTCTAAAATCAAGGATCTTCTCCTAAACAGTCCAAGTTTTTCATTTCATAATTTTCTCAGGAAAGCAAAACTGACAGAAATATGCAAAAAAAAAGAAAAAAAGGCATAAAAATTCTATTAAAGATTGAAGATACCAGTGTAATAAGTAGAGAGCATATACGTCAGTGAGTTACATGMTAGACTTGTTACAGTAAGCAAGTGAACAGGAAAAAAGAGTCAAGGAYATAAAAAGTTTTCACAGCCTTGAACACAGGCTATCAGAAAGAGGCTTTGTTGAGAGACTTGTGCTGAAAAGGTGCTTTTAAACTTTGATGAAGAAAAGCTCAGCCATTCAAGGATGAAAACTTCATCACCATGCTGTGACTGCTGTGATTTTAGCAATGTAAGGGTATTCTAACTGCTATCATTCCTCTGCAATGGATGCTTTCTCACGGTCACCTTTGTAGAATAATGTTAAACCTTAGACAAACTGCCCAGATGCAATTTGAAGAAATATCTTACACCTCTCCTTAACTAATATTCATCTTGTCCA